GCCAGCGAGTTGGTTCCGATTCATAGCAACCCTGTATAGAGTTTCCAATGAGCAACTGGTGAGTTTGAACCACTGCCTTTGTGGTTCACAGTCCAGTGCAAGAATGGATGTGGGGAAAGACAGAAAGACACAGCACCCTCTTCGTCCTTTTTTCTTCAAATGACTTTTTCTTGAAGACCTTCTCTAGCTACCCGTCTTCCTAGGGGTGGCTTTAAGGCACATGTTGGTGGTGGGGAGTGTGGCAAAGAGAGACTATTGGGCCCTTATTCCACCTTGTGAGCAGGGTTGTATAGTCAGTCCTCTGCGAGGGAGAGGTGTTTCATTGACGGCCAAGAGGTGGGTGATGACTTAACATGGTTGATGCACTACTTCTCGGGGGCTGAAACAGCATTTAAAAGATCACTGCACTCAAAGGCATCCCTTCTAGAAAGACCCTGGCAGCATTCCACAGCAGTGGAATATTTTTTTTTTTTTTTTTACGTTTTCTGTGGTTAGAATTCAGGGTGGTCACTGGAAAGAGATCTGAATGCCTTGCCAATTACCCCTCTCAAATTCTTTTTCCTGTATGTATTATATTTCAATTGCCCTCAAATTGAGTTATATTCCCATCCGAATTATGCATTTCTGAATATTCCAGCTGCAGAGCACATCTTATTATAGGAGGAAGAATTTATTAGGCCAGCCCTGGTCTTTGGGTTGGCAGCTTCACTGCTTCGGTAGAAGCTGCCTCGTGTGTCTGCTGATTTACTTGAGTTCTTTCCTGATGTTTGGGCAATTATTTAAGAGGCCCAAAGTGACAATGTAAAATGGTTAAAGAGGGAGAGCAGAAAGGGGAAGGGAGAACTTCAAAAGAACATGATTCCTTAAAAGTATTTAAAGGTTCTTTTGTGTGTGTGTGTATCATGCAAGGGGGTTTATGGAATCCTGGTGTGGTGCTGTAGGATAATCACTAAACTGCTAACCACAAGATTGGGGGTTCAAGCCCACCAGACACTCCTAGGAAATGCTATACAGGATCACTAGGTATTGCAACTGACTAGATGATACTTCACAGGGTCCTGGTGTGATGCTGTAGGGTAAGCACTGGACTACTAATCACAAGGTCAGTGGTGCAAACCCACAGTTGCTCCTCAGAAACCCTATGTTGTTGTTGTTGTTAAGTGCCGCCAAGTCAGTTCCGGAAACGCTATGCAGGGTTGTTATGAGTTGGAACCAATTAGGTGGTACTTAACAATAACATGAAGGAGCCGTGGTGGCACAGTGGTTAAACACTCCACTGCTGACCAAAAGGTCAGTGGATCAAAGCCACTGAGAGAGACAAGACCTGGTAATCAGCTCCTGTAAAGTAGAAAGTCTCAGAAACCTCACTGGGCAGTTCTACTCTGTCATATAGGGTGGCTGTGAGTTGAAACTGACTTGATGACAATTAATAACAACAATACACACGTCTCCAGCCCCATACCTTAGAGATCACCCCTGAACTGCAGCTGATTAGAAGTTCTGAGGTTCCCCAGAGATGCTCGGTGACTGCTTGATGGCAGTAAACCAGCCTTCTCTGTAGGTTGTCATTTCTGAAGACTATAGACACCTTTACCGATGGCGCTGACAGCTACTAGATCACCACCAGGTACCAGGCACAGTACAAAGCAGAACTTGTCAGACATTGCCTCATTTGACACTCAAGGCCGGCCGAGAACACTGGTTCTGAGTGTGTTCCTCAACCAGCAGTGTTGGCAATGCCTGTGAACTTGCTAGTAACGAGAACTCTTGGGCCCAACCAGATGCACTGAATGAGAAGCAGACTGGAGCCTTATTTTCAACAAGCCTCCCTCTTCCCTCCAGTTCTGAGACTTGCTAAGGCTCTACAGTCAGTGCCTAGAAGGCAGTACTATATCCATTAGTGACAAATAACTGAGGCTCAGAAATGCCAAGTGATTACCCAAGTCACACAGGAAGTGAATGAGACGAGATTCGAACCAGGACAAGACTTACTCCAGTTTACTCCCTTTGTCACAGAGCCTCCCAGCTCATAATCAGAGGAATGCATATGGATAAAGTCAGCTAACAGTCAACAAGGACACATTCCTCCCTGTCTGGAGGGAAGAAGAGCTATGAAAAGTGAAGACACATGGAAACAGTCCAATGTATCACATGAACATTAGTCTCTACAACCCTGAGACCAGAAGAACTAGATGGTGCCGGGCTGCCACTCCCAACTGCTCTGATAAGGGATCACATCAGAAGGTCCTGGATCGAGTGGGAGAAAATGTGGAACAAAACTCAAAATCATAAAAGAGACAGAGGGAGCCCAAGACTATGGTCCTTGGTTACCTTTTAGGCTTGGAAGCTAACTCACACTTGTGGCTCAATTTTCAGCTGAGTAGCATATAGCGGGGAGACAATGACACAAGTGAAGTATGCACACCATACAGTGGTCAAGTATTCAAGATAGAAATTTGTTGACTATAAAACGAATGATCTGCTTGGTAAACAGATCATGCAATTCATAATGAAAAGAAAGAAAATAAAACAAAAAACGGGGGTCGGGGGGAAGGAATGATTGCCAAGATCTCCAATGACCTAAAGGAATATTTAGGATAAGAGAAGGGAAGGAATTTAGATCTAGGAGCACCAGTAATGGCGGTTCTTAACTGCTGCTGAGTTGGTTCTGACTCATAGCAACCCTGGTATAGGGTTTCTGAGGAGCGAATGGTGAGTTTGAAGCACCGACCTTGAGTTGAATGCTTATTTTATGGTGCTACAATGGTGGAGTAGACAGTGTAATGTGTTGGGTTTGTAATACCCAAAAAGTTGGTGGAAAAAAATCCATGATCTTTTCATTCTATTCTTCCATTCATTTTTGAAGTCCCCCTGTCTATATCTCATCATTGCTGTTGTTGTCAGTTACCAGCATGCACAATGGACACATCAAAAGACCATTATGATCCAGAGGGCTTCCACTGGCTGATTTTTGGGAGGAGGTTGCCAGGCCTTTCTTCCTAATCTTTCTGAAGTCTGGTAGCTCCACTGAAAGCTGTTCAGCATCACAGCAACACTGACAGACAAGTGATCTCCCACATGAAAGGTGAGGATTCTGTTCCCTAACCATTGTATACAAGGGCACTTCAAAAAATGTGTGTGTGTGCGGGGGGAAAAGAATAAAAAATAATATTGGAATTTCCCCCATGAACTTTTTTAATCCTTCTCATATATGCTGTTGTGTACTGTCACCTTGATTCTGGTTCACAGTGACCCTATATGACAGAGAACTGCCATAGGGTTTTCTAGGCTATAATCTTTAAGGCAACAGATCTTCAGGTCATTTTCCAGCAATGTCATTAGTGGGTTTGAACCAACAACCTTTTGGTTAGCAGTCAGTTATCCACTGCATCACCAATGCTCCTTAACATATGAAGGGGCTTTGAAAATTCATGGGAAAATGGAATGAAAAGATTATAGACTTCCCCCTGAATTTTTGAAGTCTCCCTGTATAGTGGAGTCCTAGTGTGGTGCTTACTATTACATAAGCTCTGGAAGAAAAAGTCGATTTGAATCACAAGGTTGGCGGGTCAAATCCACTAGGAAACCCTATACAGGGCCGCAGTGAGTCAGAACTGATTCAGTGGCGCTTCACAACAACAACAATCTTGTATATTATACTCTGCTATGAATTGGTAGGATTCTCAGTGTGGTGTTGCAGGATAATGCGCTGGACTGCAAGGTCAGTTTGAACCGCAAGGTCACTATGGGTCGCTGTGGCTCCCATAAAGGCCGACAGTCTTAGAAACCCTGCCTAGGGTCATTATGAGTGGGAACTGACTCGATAATGGCGGTGGATTTGGTTTGGGGTTCATGTTATTGGATGAAATAAGTTGCAGAGATCAGTTATAGTCTGATATAACCTATCTTCAAAACAAAAGGAAAAAAGAAGGGGAGAGGAAAGTAGAAATTGAACAAAAAATGTCCCAAGTCTCCATTACTTTTAGAGCATAATTGGGTAATCGGACTGGACTGCTAACTGCAAGGCTGGCAGTTCAAACCCACCAACCGTTCCTTGAAAATTCTATGCAGCATCACTAACAGCAATAACATTCTTATTGAAGGGACCCTGGCGGTGTAATTGTTAAGTGTTCAGCTTAAACCTACCTGGCAGTTCCACAGAAGAAAGGCATGGCAACCTGCTTCCCTAAAACTCACAGCCAAGAAGACCCTGTGGGGTGGGTGTACCCTGACACTGGGGCCGCTATGACTCACAAACTGACTCAGTGATAACTAACCACAACAGCCCTGCTTTAAACGGATTTGTTCTTATGAAGGGGCTTCAGAAAGTTCATGGGAAAACTCCATGGTCTCTTCATTTAACTTTTGCATGATCTTTTTGAAGCCCCCTATGTTTGCTATACTCTGCTGGAGAAGGATGTCATGTTTGGTAAGATGGAGGGTCAGAGAAAAAGAGGAAGACCTCCCAACGAGATGGATTGGCCAGGTGGCAGCATTGATGGACTCAAGTGTGGCAACAGTAGTGAAGTTGGCCCAGGATCGGACATTGTTTCGTTCTGCTGTGCATAGGGTCGCTATGAGTCGGTACTGACTGGATGGCACCTAACAACAACAACAACAACAACAACAACACGGTGTGCTATGGGGTCCTGGTGTGGCACTGTGGGTTAATGCACTGGACAACAAAACTGGCTTGAACTGCAAGGTCGGCAGTTCCCTGGAACCACTCCTGGAAAACCCTATACAGGGTCACTACAGTTGGAACTGACTCAATGGCACATAACAACAACAGAAACAAGGTGTGCTGTACAATCAGCACTGGACTGCAAACCACAAAGTTGGAAGTTCAAACCCACCAGCTGCTCTTTGAAGATCCTAGACAGGGTTTCTATGAGTCAGAACTGACTCCATGGCATATAACAACAGTATTTAAACAAACATCACTCATAGTAAACAAACCCTGTGCCCACTTGGCGAGACAAGCAAAGAGCCCCTCTTACTGGTGCAAAGTGTGCAGCGGGATCTCCGGCTTCTCGTTCTGCCCGTAGCAGCTGGCCTTGGCCTCGGGGATGTAGGAGTACCTCTCCAACATGGACGATGCAGCCGTGGTGAGGATGCCGAGGCCGTCCCGCACTCTGGCCTGCAGGCTGTAGTCCCAGTCATCATAGGAGACAGAGATGAGTCCTGATGGAAACTCTTTGGGAATGAGTTCTGTGTTTCCAGAGACCAAACTGGGGACAATCCAGAAGAAGTCATACCCGGTGAGACCCAGGGAGCGGGCCTCACTCAGGATGAGAACCGCCTCATCTTTGGAACAGTACAGCAAGATGACGGAAGAGTGGATCTTCTTCAGTTGGACCTGCGTCTTCGCATCCTCAAAGGAAGTGTCCAGCGTGATGACGTTCTGCATGTCCCAGCCCACAAAGCTGTTGTCCACTGTGGTCTTGACGAAGCTAATGAACTCCCTGTAGCCAGGGAAGATGGTGGTCACCAAAGAGAAGACATGCCAGTCATAATCCTGCATAATCTTCAGCATGACTGTGGCTTGCTGCTGGATGGATGCTCCGAACTGGAAGAAGGTCGATGTTGGATCCTGCCAACAGGTACAGAGAAAGCAAAACAGAGCATGAGGCAGAAGGCAGTTTATACATAACCATCTGTTTCCCTAGGTTTGAATGAAATCCAGCTTTGAAGCACGGGAAGATCAATCACACATCTATTCATTTGCAAATAATTCTTAAGCACCTAAGAAATGCCAGTCCAGGGACAGATACTGGAAATACAGAAACCAGAGGTCCCTGTACTCACAAACTCACAGTCCAGTAAAGTGAAGGCCATCTGGTCTCCTTCCCTGTCCTTACTGATGCTTTTAAATTTCCTCTAGCTCATTCCATCCCCCACTTTGTGTCCATATGGTTCCAACAGAACAAACTCTATCTGGTCTCCAGCCTCATGGCCTAAAAATGAAACCAAGAGAGGCAAACATGGCATGAGGACTTGGAAATGCATACCTGGTGCCATAATTGGAGCATCTGGAACGGCCCATGATTGAAGGCATTTATCCTGGGTCACATGTTCATATGAACCAACGAGTTCTCCTGTTTGCCATTAGAGAACTCATGATTTCTTTATAATACAGAGTATAATAAATACTCTATGGATATTAACTCATTCAATGGACAAATAGTCATTGAACACCCAACTCTATGCCAACACTTTTGGGATCTTGGGGCATATGAGGTAGACTGGTCCTTGTCTTGCTGGATCTGAGAGGAACATGAGGGAGAGCTTCTCCCAGCAGGGCTGAGAGAGGGAGGTATCAGGGAATCTCGAGGGAGCATCCAGGTGAGGAAGAGGGGAAACAAGTGGGGGACTCAGGAATAGGAGGTGAATGTAGCTGGAGATGGGAAGGGTGAGAGAATGAGGAAGTGGGTGGGGTCCTCAGCGTGGAGGGTCATGGGAGTTTGTCCACAGATGAGGACTCAAACTTGTCACACAGCATCAGGAGCAGCTACGAAGGCTCTTACTTGGAAAGTAACTTGGAAGATTCAAGGACCTGCAGTACTTTTAACAGAGGGTGCTGGTGGCTCAATGGCTAAGTGTCTGGCTAGGAACCGAAATTTGGTGGTTCAAATCCACCAGTGGCTCTTCAGGACAAAGATGTGGACATCTGCTTCTGTAAAGATTATATCTTGAAGACCCTAGAGCCTCTATGAAATGGAGTCCATTTGATGGCAATAGGTTTGGTGTAAGAGTTCTCATAGTACTTGCTGCTGATTCATGGCGATCTCATGTGTGTCAGAGTAGAACCATATTCAGTAGGATTTTCAATGGATGTTTTCTCACAGATGGCCAGCTCATCTTTTAAAATGATTTTGGGTGAACTTGGATTTCCAACCTTCTGGTCAGTAGTCAAGTATGTCAGCTGTTTGCATCGCCCATGGACTTGGTTCACCTGCTTGGTTCAAAAGCCCACCTAGAGATTCCTCAGAAGAAAGGCTGGCTGACTTCTAAAAACAATCTCCTTTGAAAGTCCTATGGAGCACAGTTCTACTTAGACACACATAGAGGCACCAAAGTCAACTCAACCGCCTAATGGTTTTCTGGTGGTGCCTAATGGTTTTCTGGTGGTGGTGGTTGTGGTGGTTATGAGTTGTGGAATCGGTTCCGACTCATAGTGACCCTGCATGGGATTTCTGAGGCTGTAAATCTTCCCAGGAGCAGAAAGCCTCATCTTTCTCCTGTGGAACCATTGGTAGTTTCGAACTGCTGACCTTGAGATTAGCAGACCGATTTGTAACTGCTACGCTACCAGAGCTCCTTGGTTTTCTGGTAAGAGTTCTAATATCTCTGCAAGTCTATAACCAAGCCAACAAACACCCAGTTAGAAAACGCAGGCAGTGCCTACAGTTCTAGAATTTGCAAGTTATCTTCACACTCTTTAACTCTTTAAATGCCCATAAGAACCCTAAAAAGGAGGAGAAAAACGAGGCCTCAAATTGTCACATAGCTAGTAGACAGGTGAAACCAGGTTCTGTGACTCCACACCCAGTTCCCTTTCTAACACTCAACCATGGCCTTCTTGGGATTATTTAAGATTGGCTTCAACACTGCTGCTGATGAGTTGACATCACACAAAAATGCCAAATAAACAGGGTGTATGCCTCTGTGTTACAGAAAAACAGGATTTGACAAATGCTGAGAAATCTTTTGTTTTCCTCTTCTTCTTGGCAATGGAAAGACACCTTAAAGGGTCTTCAACATACTATAGCTATGGCTCCAGTGTGTGTTCTGTATTTAGCATGTGCGTTTTCCCCGATTCCATGGGTGCACACTATGGGGAATCCTCTGTGTGTGTTAGAGAGAGAGAGAAAGAGAGGGGATGGGTGATTCTATTCTTGGCTTTCAGAACAATACTTTGCGGTAGATCATGTCAACTCCTTCAACAAGTCCACATCGTTTTCCAGTGGGTACTCATTGAATGGAAAGTTTTATCTCAATGGGCCCAAAGCTATCATTCTTGGAAATGCTGCTCATTTCCTTCTGAGATCATTTGAGTGCATCATGGCCTAAAGGTGGAGAGCAATAAATGCCTTCTGGGACCCTTAACGACATTCCAGTTCTATGTATTTCACCTCATTAAATCAATTAAAGCTGCTAACAGACTTAACGACTTAGGATAACTCTTTTTTTCTCACTCCTGGTATGGTGCTACAGGATAAGCACTGGACTGTGAAGCACATGGTTGGCAGTTCAAACCCACCAGCTGCTCACTGGAAACTCTATACTCATAGGGTTGCTATGAGTCGGAACCAACTCGATGGCATTTAATAACAACAACACCAGTAACAGGAATTCCTGGCATAGTGCTGTACAATAAACACTGGACTGTTAACTACAAGGTCAGCATTCAAACTCACCAACTGCTCTTCAGAAAGCCTATACAAGGTTGCTCTATAAGTCAGAACTGATTTGATGGCACTTAACAACAAAAACATGGTAGCTTTGGGAGAAACCCAGTATTTGAGATTGATGCATGATTTTAAATCACTCCCCATCAAGGCCAGGGACCTCAAAGGCTGCTGATCTGTGTCTGTGTCCCCAGAACCGGATGGTGGGAATGCATGAGCGAGTGGATGTGTGGGTGATTCCAGAGAGGGACGTTCTAGGTTGAAACACAAATAGGAAAGGGCGAGATTGCATTCTGTAGGGCTTTTGAATGTCACATATCAGAGAGTAAAAACTTTCAACACCATCACCCGGTTTACCCTTAGAAACCTTCTTCCATCTAACACCAGATTATGTTTTGTTATTGCTGTGATTTGCTGTCACGTTGATTCTGATCTACAGTGACTCCAAGGGTGCAGAGCAGCACTTTAGAAAGTTCCATGTTGATAAGGAAGAGAATACTGCAGCACTCTAAGTCTCAAGTGAGCTCCAGTGGGACGCTGTAGGATCAGCACTGGACTAGTAACCACAAGGTCGGTGGTTCAAACCCACCAGCTGCTCACAGAAACCCTCTGTATGAGTCAGAACTGACTCAATGGCACACTCCAATGACATAAACCAGAACTGGAATCAAACATACCAACAATCCTGAAGAAAGTGCAGGACGAGGCCAACGTTTTCTTAAAACACATCAACAATCCTAAAGATGGTGCGGGACCAGTCAATGCTTTGTTATACATAAGGCTGAGTCAGAGCCAGACTCGATAACAACTAACAACATGAACCTCGACAGCTGTCCACAGAACTACGTGAAACACCAATAAAAGGGCAACAGCAGAAAGGACCCAATAATAAGAGGCGGAAGAGAGACGTGGCAGCCTGGTTTCATAAAGATGACAGCTATGGGAGCCCAGTGAGGCCATTCTACCCCATCCTGTAGGGTCACTCTGAGCCAGAATCGACTCGACAGCAGTGGGGCTCGGATCAGCAAGAATGAAGCAAACCCTCAATGAGATGGACTGACACAACAGTCACGGGGGACCCAAACATTGCAACAAACATGGAGATGGGGCAGGACAGTGGTCTGAAGATGACTGCAAGGCCGGTGGTTCAAACTCACCAGTCGTTCCTGGGAAACACTATCCAGACTCGATGGCTCTTAAGAACAACAATATACCTATCTACTGCTTGGCTGAAAGTTGGGCCATGAAGGTGAGTTCCTTTCCAGACCTGAAAGGGGGCGGGGGGTGGTCAAGAGCCATCATCTCAGTTTCCTCCAGTCTCTTTCTAACCACTAAGCCCTGTTTTTTTAAAATAATTTTGAGTTTTGTTCTACATATTCTGCTGCTTTATACGGGACCTTCTAATGTGATCCATTTCAGGGCAGTTGGTAGTGTTGGCTGGGCACCATCTAGTTCTTCTAGTCTCAGAGTCGTGGAGACTGATGTTCACAGGATCCACCATTACTATGTGGGATTAACTGATTTCAAGCATCTTAAATTCTCATCACTCTTCTTTCTTCTGCACATGGAGCTACCAATAGCTGCACCTTAGATGACCACTCATGAGCTTTTAAGATCCATGACACCACTCACCAAAGTAAGATGTAGAACATTGTTTCTGTGGACTGTTGGGCCAACAGATCATGGTGTCCCCTGAGACTACAATCCTGACAGTCTGAATTTTTTATTGCGGTTATGGTGAACATTTAGAGAGCAAATTAGCTTTACCTTCAACAATGTTTAAACTTTGTTTTGCGACATTGGTTGCCGTCCCTTCAATGTAACAACATTCATCTGCTGGCACCCTGGGTTCCCTATTTTCCATTTGTCCTTCTCTCCTGCCCTGTCCTGCCTTCTGAGCTTTATTTTTGTGCAAATGCTGTCCTTTTGGTCTCCTGTGGCTATTGTTCACTTTATAGGCCTGCCTACTGTTTGGCTTAAAGGCGATCCCCAGAGATGGGTTCAGTTCCAAGTCTGAAAGGGCATCTAAGGGCCACAGTCTCGGGGGCTCCTGGTGGAACTCTATCAGACTACTGAAGCTCTGAGCACAATCACAACAGAAGGTCTTAGACAGGGAGGGAGAAAAGAAAGTAGCACAACAGTCACATCCAGCCTGTACTTTCTGGACACCACAACTGGGTCT